TCCAATATTCTCTAATTGATTTTCTAAGAAAAAAAGACAATTTAATTTAAATTGAGAAAACTAACATTTCTCCGAAAAGTAATGAATTATTATACTTCAATTAGTTTAAAATATACGTATTATTAATAAAACACAATATATTTCTGTCTAAAACTAATTATTATTAAGATGTCTAAGTTTCTAAATTTAAAATTTAATTTTCTTCAACAATTAATATTAAATATTTCCAACCAAAATAAGACAAATCAATAAAATTACGTAATATTTGTTTCCATTATTAGTTTACTTTTTCTGTCTTTTAAAAAAATAACTTGCAAACAACATGAAATATCTCGGAATGCATTATACTTTAGTTTCGAATCTCCTTAATTGAGCCGACCTTCAAAATCCTTACGTTTAGCGAATATGTTATAAATTTATTATAAAAGGAAAAAATATATAGATTTTTTTTATAAAATATTCAGTTTTATTTGAAATAATAAAAGCATTAAAATGCTTTCATTTGGAAAAAAATAAAAAAGGTTTTGTAGTATATATGTCACGATAAAAGTACACAATCGGTAAATGTATACATTTCCCGATAAATGTATACGTTTACCGATCTTGTAGGTAAATGTAAGTATAAGACTGACAGCAGCGTCATATATCTACTTCCACCGGTAAATGTTTACATCTACCTACGTATATCGGGAAATTAAATTCATCATACATCATTGTTAAAACTTGTGTACACATATTATGCGTATTTATGAATATGTTTCACTATACGAGTAAAAATCCGAAAATTTTGGAACGGATTAAACTCGTTAAGCAAGGTTCCACTGTATTTTATTTACCTATATGAACATTTACCGATGTCGTTGGTTAATGTGTACATTTTCCGGAAATAGTGGGTAAATGTGAGTTAAACTTACATTTACCGACATTGAATCAAAAATAAATACACTTTTAAGCAGAAATCTTACTGTATACTTATAAATTTGCATATTCATTGTAGATATTTGGAACAAAACATGGACGACTTCCAGAAATATTGCATTCATCGGTATTATTTTAATGAACAGGTAACAAGTAACAAGGAATTTCCATTTCAATGTAATATAAATTAATTACATTTAATCAGAGAATTTATAAACTTTTTAGTGTTATTGAAAAAGGCGTCTGCACTATATTTACATATAAGAATTACCATATTAATTAAGATAAGTGTTTTGTACATAATTTTCAATAAGATAAATATAGAAAACGAACTCGCTATACAAGTTTATTTCCATATAAGAAATAATATGTTCAAAAAGTCAAAACAGTTTTATTATTTCTGTAATACTTTTTTATTGCTTATTCAGTGCACATAACGCAGCCAAGGGATTATTCCACTTGAAAGACAGTTTAGTAATTGGATTTTTTTTTGGTTTGCAGGCGTTGAAAATCCTTCTTTTTTTTTCAGTAAGACACTTAAAACATTTCAGTAAGTGGATGTAAATTTAAAAATAAAAATTGTTCATTAACACAAACACTTGTAATATGATTTTGTAACACTTAGATTAATTTAAAAAAAAGAAACAACTATAAAACTATATATATTAAAATCTCATCAGTTCTTATGTGTAAATTTGGCCCTAAAATTACTTTGAGACATGTTTCTTAAAGACGATTTTAATGAAACAAGAAAAAAGATTAATTAAAAAGATGATTAAAAAAAAGTATTTATATCATATTTGTTTACAGGTGCAATATTTGCAGAACACTCAATGCAAATCTAAGAATGCGGAATTTCCTAAATCGATTTTGATAAGAATATATCACCAAAAACAAAATTAGATCCCAATCAAAATGTTACAACTTTCCTTGATTTCTTTATAAAATAAACGTTTAGAATAATGATCTAAGAACATGAGGCATTATTATAGATAATTGAAATTTTATTGCGAAAATCTAGTTTTATTATTTTTTTTCTAATACATTTAATAAGTACAATCGTAAAATACAGATTATATTAGATTATAAATTGATATAAATATCATTATGATTATATCCTCAGAATACTGCGTATTAGAAATTCCCATCGTCTATCATTTTGGAAATTATGAAAAAAAACGTGATGAAGCATGTTCAAGAAATTCAACAAAGAATTACATCAATACATTAGATCAGCGTTTCTCAAACTTTTTGCCCCGCGCAACCTAACATATTTGTTCATAATTAGGACTCAATTTGACACTTTGACGTAAGGTGATCAGCTATCAGGTGACAGCTTAAACTCATAGGTTGAGAATCGCTGTTTTAGTTAATGCAACTTCGGATTATTAGTTTAACTAAATTACATATTTCAATCCTTACAGTTAGGATTAAATTATTGAAAAAAAAAATCTCTAAATGCATTAAGAGCTGAGCATAGTAATCCTTGAAGACATACAAAATGCAAACATGTAGTAAAGACCAATAACCTTCCTTCACCGGAAAACAAGCAATTCGTATTATATTATTGTCTGTGTTTGTAAAGCTATGTTTCTCAAAATCGCAAGAAAATTATTAAACGAATTTCCGGGAACTAATTGAATTTATATAAGACATATGTTCAGTGATCGATAACAAAGAAATTCCACAAATTATGATTAATACTATTATTGCTTTCTTCCACTGAACGTGAATCAATATGTGAAGACAAAAGTTGTTAAATCAAAAACCAACTACTAAACAGCTTCAATGTAGTATTTGTAAAACTTCTATTTATATTATAAAGCAGATTCATAGGAAATTGCTAAATCGCAATAACACGTACATATGTATAAACGTTTAATCAATTCTATGAATGTAATAATAAATATTGCAGGAATTTTCGTGTTTCCTTGTACAAAAACAATAAAAAAATGTATCCTTTTCGGAATAGATTGATACATTTCTGTTACTGACAGTTGATAAATCATTTGTCATTTCCAAACTGGGAACGACTTCAAGGCTGAACTTGTAAAGTGATGATTGAAGTATTGTAATTGCGGAATCGATTGCAAAAGCACTTGTCCAGGTAATGTGTATTGGCAGTTAATTAATGTCATGAATGGATATAATGAACATGCAGGAATGTATTTTTTTTTGTATTTTCTTTTCGATGATTAACACATGGTAATTATACAATTAAGTTTTATCTATAAACAGTATTAAATGTATTTGAAAAACTAATCATAAATATACATATTTCGAGAACGCACAGTTCAGGGAATTGGTAATAAATTGGAAATTTTCCAAATCAAATGCAACAAAAAATAATGAAAATTATATTAGAATTATATAGAAAAATACTGTATTTTGGAAATGAACAGTTTAATTTGCACGTATAACTATATAAATATATTTAACGATCGATTAATTTAATTCCACAAATTATGATTTATACTATTTCTCTCTTAGAAACGAAACGTGGGATGGCATGAATCAGTCAGCAGAAGATTAATGTCACTTGATAAATCGATGGACATTGTCAAGAACCAAACTCGGATTGGCTTCAAGGCAGTATTTGTAAAAGTAGTACTCTGAATTGATTACGTTATTTATAATACAGTTTCAGAGAAACCCACTCAATTGCAATAAAACTGTTCAGGTAATGTGCATTAACAGTTAATGAATGCTATAAATATAATGACATCCAGATACATAAATGAATGCATGCAGGAATGTGTCTTTTCGTTTCATTGCAAATGAATCTATATAAATGTTAATTGTTAAAAAGTAATAAAGATATTAAAAAAGGACATACCAAACTTGGTCCACACCAATTTACAAGAAGATATATTTAACTAATGTGTTCTGAGAGATATAAATAAATAAAGAAATAAGCCTTATTAATTACAAATAAATCAATACAAATGTTATTTTTTGTACTTAAAAAATAATGAAGATATTTGTAAATAAATCTAATTGGATACAAAACATGGATGAAATTGAAAAAACTATTGTGTTTTTAATTCAACTACCTGAATAGTTGTGCAAACTCACTCAATTGCAAGAATAACTATTCAGGTAAAGTGTATTAACAGTTAATGAATGTCATGAATATGATATGTAGATATAGAAATGAGTATGCAGGAATGTGAATATTTCCTGGCAAAGAAATGTACAAACATTAATGAGTATTTTTACTCTATAACAAGTGGTGGAGAGAGAAATTTATTATTATATTTGTGAATAAAGCACCAAACCCTAGTTTCAATTGTGTGAAGCACTTATAAAAGTGGTATTGTTATGTGACTTGGATTATTCATAGTGTAAATTCAGAGAAACCCACTCAAAAACATTGATGAATGCCATGGATATAATGATATCCAGATGCATAAATGAGTATAGTGATGTGCAAATGTTTCTTACAAAATAAATATATTTTTGCTTAACTTGAATTTTATTATGACTGTAATTGTTGTATTGTGTTGATTTGCTTATTCATAGTACAATTTTAGAAAAACCCACTCAATTTCAATGCAACTGTTCAGGTAATGTGAATAAACATTTAATGAATGCTATGAATGTATTCAGATTCTGAAATGTGTTTTTTTGTGAAATATATAAAGTTTTTTTTTTATTCTTTAATGAGTTGGGTTAAGGAAGATTTGTGAATAAGATTCCAAATTGTGTTGATTGGATTATTCATTTCAGGGATGCCCACTCAATGGGCTGTCCAGGTAATGTGTATTAACTGTTAATGAATACCATTATCATAATGATATCCTGATAGGTAAATGGAATGGAATGTACGTGTTGTTTTTTGCTGGCAAAAGAATATATAAACATGAACGTTGTTTTTTTCTGCTCTTTTGAGTAAAGTGTTGAAGAGGAAGATGGAGAGAAAAAGAATTGAAAAGACGGTGGTAATGCAGCGAGGGAGATGAGATGATCGGGATGCGGGTGCATGCGAGAGGGACAACCTCTCATGTGACATTTCCCGAAACGAGAGTGAATCAGGGGATCTGAATGCAGCAGGGAGGAAGGAAATCGGGTGTCTGTCTCACCTGGTAAAGTAGAGGCCATCCCAGGTTCCTGTTCAACTCCAGATATTCGGTCTCGATGTTGTTGCTTGTGCTGCCGTTGTTCGTCATTTTAGCGTTGTCTCGGGGCTCCCTGTCTCCTGTCTCCGATCTCACTTCTTCTTCTATAGCTTCTTCCTTCGCCGCTCTCTCAGTCTCAGTCCGAACAGTGAACACTCGAAAAAGGCATATATACGTGTATAAAAAATAAATAATCCTACGCCGATCGGTCGCCGGATCGCCACTCTAACGCATTCGATTTCATTCACTTTCTACTCGATCCGAGAGCTTATCATCAACACAACCTCTCTCTGCAACCATAAATGCCACTTGCGCGAGCTGTGTACGTTAGCACGCCATCTTTGGAAAGAGATGCGTCGATCGCGCTCTGCACGCTACCGAGCGAGACGACACCACACTCAATTATGCTACAGCCAATGTAAACACACGCCACCTGCAATGAGAAATTGGTAACTCTTCGGCTCGTTGAATAACGTACGTACGTTGGGTGTACGGTCGTGCGGACGTGTACGTAAATCGACGAGCGGCGAAGAGCGCATTGAACTTGCGCGTGCTTTCAATTTTTCGAAAACAACGCTTTGCGCGTATTTTCGCATTTCTAAAGAAAGAAAGGAAACTCGTGTACCTGCTGCACATGCAACACTCTTCTCCTGCTCCAGACGCGCACTTCAAATCAATATCCGCTCCCCTATAATTAGCTTCAAAACAAAAACCCACTTTCGACAGCTGCAGCTGCCCTTCTTCATACACATTCACATCAACACGATGAATTTATTTCAAACAAAATTAATTAACTGCCGCCTATTATGCAACCCCGATGACATCTAAAGCCTACTACTTTGTTTAAATTTAAAAAATTATATTTCACAGTTGAAATCTTCAAGATTTGATTTAATTTATAATGTTTTTAATAAGTTTTGTTAAATTATAAGAAAATAAGTGTGATATTGGAACAGCAATTTAAATGATCATCAAAGAATTAAGAATACAGAAAATTTACTCTTCCCAATAGATTACAATCAGATGTATATGATCTATATAATTGACTTGAAAAAGAGTATATTGGAGCTGAAACTTGTATTCGATTCTTTAAAACTGTATTGACAAACAACTGCAGAAAACTGTATAAATAAATGAAAAAAAAAAACTATTTTTCTACAATGAATTAATATATAAAGATGATAACTAACTTATATAAATTATATAATTTGTCTTTACTAAATATAAACAAACATTTGTTGTTGTTGTAAAACGACAATTATCAGTATTATTTCGGTAATGCTAAAGCAAGGATAATTGAAAAACTTGTATCTATTTGCTTTAACAACTTTATATCTATGTATTAATATATAAAAACACATTGTTAATCATTTCAAAAGGTAATCTGTAATTTGTTATTGTTTGCCTTGTAAAATTATTTTGTAATATTTCAACATAATCAGTATTATCTTGACATTCGACAAGTTTAAATAACGATTCTGCAACTGAAAGACCTTGTTTACAGCTTATTTTGGATTGATTCTGAAGCATGTAGAGCTGACTTCGTCAATATAAGTACAACTTGGTCCTGACGTCGGTTCTTGTAATACGCTTTGGATTATAACATCTTTAAATAATTTTTCATATATTTGTTCATCTTTGTCAAATGTTTACAATTAATTAATTGTTAAATAAATCTTTGTTAAATAAATAAATGAACGACCTACATTTAGATGTGAGATTGGACATCAAAAAGTATTTAACTTGATTTACTATACAGATTATTTAGAGCAATGCAGCGATTGTAGTGAATAATGTTGAAATGGGTTTTTGTAATACAATGGAGACTATTTTGATACAAGAAACGAGACGAGGAACTCTATTTGCGGAAATGATGAACACGGGGAGTCGCTGCTGCACCTGTGTATATGATGTACCATTAAATCATGACTATAAAATAGCAAACCGGGAAACGAGACTGAAAATACTTGCGAGGGCTTTCTAGTCTTGAGCACTTGAAACTATTTATACACATTAACGTTATGTAAAGCAATAGAATGGATATATACGGCTGGACTTGAGTCGTATAAAAAGTTTAATACATAACGAAAAGAAAACGTCTTCAAAGTCTTTAGAACTTATAAAAATGATTGCTGCAGTGAAAGTGTATATACATTGAAACGAAAAATGTTTATGAATATGTCAAAATAGACTTAAAATTGTTTCTGAGCCAGGCGCTGTCTGGTCATTGATGATTTCGCAAGTACCTGCACTTTATCGCAAAGAAGGAAGACGAAAGGTCCGGTACTGTGAGGAGGACGATAGCTCTGTGCACACGCTTTTTAGGTGCTGCAGATGGCTTAGAAGGAAACAGAGGCAGAATTTGGAGTTCTGCAAGAGCCGGAAAATTTTGTCAGCGAAATGCTGGGAGATTGTAGCAGCATACATAACAGGATCCAAGGGAAGTGCCAAACAAACAAAGACAATCAGCATCGCATAGTACAATGATACAGGTCCTGTATGCTGACAAACAAGACCTCCAATACAAAAAAAGGGACTTAAAATAGTTAAAATTTAAAATTTAATATTCAAATTATTTGTTATATTTACTTTATTAATATTTGTTTAAGTTGATGCATTGTGAAAACTAAACAAATAAATTTAGTTCATAGTAAAAAGATATCATATTATATTTGTACAATGATTTGAGTTTGTTTTATGACAAATAACTATTGTAAGTAGACTCAAAATAAAAATTTATTAATTCATCTTTCATACGGAAACGCCAAAGAAGATGGACGTGTCCTATGTTTTAATTACCATTTTCTTACTTAGTATTCATTATTTAACATTCAGTAAAGATCGTTACTACCGTTAAGTTCCTAAAATAAACTTATTCTTTCAATACTTAATCATTCAGTAATAATATTTTGATTTATAATTTATTTAATATTTTAAGTTAGAAAAATTACATGTATATTATATGCAATCAACATTACAACCACTTGTTAATATTAATACAATTATATTAAAATACTTTAATTTTACATATATTTTAGTTAATTATTTAATTTATAAGTAATTATTTCTGTTGTAATCAATTCATGTATATTTGGTTGCATATATTACAATAACTAGTATATAGAAATATATAAAACATTTTCTAATAATCTATAGTTAAAATAACATTAATCAATTAAACATTGATCTAATGAATATGTAAATAAAGTAAATTCGTGTAAATTTCTACTGGATGACAGCTGATGACAGGTCAGAAGGAAGGGGTATGCTTTTGACAAGAAGTGTCATCTGATCATAACAAAAAAAAACTTAAATAAACAAGGCGTGAGTAACTCATGTTCGAATAAATTTGTGTACCTTATAAGAGAATCGAACGAGAGATGAGCTCTTACAGTGATAGTGAATTGCGAATGAAGCGTAGGATGAAGGCCAAAGACAAAATAGTGAGGAAAGACTTTCTGCAGGCACTGAAGAACTTCAAGACGTCCAGAGAGGAAGAGCAATTGCTGCTTTCCGTCAAAGTTAACAACTCGGATCTTCTGCAGAGATTGCTCGAGGATGGAACTTCTGCAAACACCAGAGACAACATTGGGAGATGTGCACTGCACCTGGCTGCCAGCCGTGGTTATAAGGATATAGTTAGGATTCTGCTCTGTCATGGGGCTGATCCCAATGTTCAGGACATGATACTTAATACTCCCTTACATTTAGCAGCTTGCAATAGCAACTTGGAGGTGGTCACCTTGCTCATTGATGGTGGAGCTGACATCAGAATGTTGGATATCAATGGACGAAATCCATTGCAGATAGCTGAGAGCAAGTTGCATATATTAATGAAAGGCTGGCAGAGTGGTGCGGTGGAAACCAAAAAGATTCACATGCAAGTGCAAGAAGTAAGCATCTCAATCATTGCTTGATTACTACTCATTTTCATATTCAATTTGTAAACTAAAAGATTTGATTGTTTAGTTCTGTGCTAAATCCTTTTTTTATTCTTCAGATTATTGAAGTGATGTTATCACTGTGGAGGAATAAGACTAGAACGAATTGGGGACACCATAGGGACAATGTGGATGACTTGGAGTTCATGAAGCTCTCACTGAGATCGAACCCGGAGCCGGAGATCGACGATCAGATGTCGAAGCTGCTTTCTGAGCTGAAGGAGTTCTCAATAAAATAGTAGTGAGCAACAGTTTTTATTGCTTAATTATCATAGATTAATATAATATAACAGATTGATACAATCACATAATAAAGAAAAAAACATCGTAATATATTAATAACAAACAGCCAGGAAGAAAAGTTCGCCTTCTTTTAAAATTTACAAATTGTATTTGTTTATTTCCTACATGTTTATTATCATTTTAATCGAATAATAATAATATTGAATGCGATTCGCTTAATTTGACATATCTTTTTTGTTTTCTTGTTTTATTTAGGAAGATCTACGTCTGTATATAATTATATTTATATATTTCTTATTTATGTCGTAATAATAACATCACAGCCTTACTTACATAAAATACAATTTGATTCATTGAAACAACCCAATTTTTTTTTCTTCTTTTAATTTAAATTATTTATATATACACTTGATAGAAATTCTTTTGTATTCATAATAATATACAATACATACTGCTAATTAAGTACTTTCCTTTTTTACCAATAAAGCTGTGTAACTCTCTTCACCTCTTGTGTTTTTTCTTTCCTCTTCTTTGTAAATTTACTCTAGTGATTTAAAAATTACCAATGTTTACTAAAATATAGCCTTAAGAATAATTGGCAAGAATTCAACAACCAACTTTCTCTCTGTACGTCGATACACAATATATATATATTTCTTAACAATTCAGGTCCAACTATGTAATAACCTTCCACAACCTCTTTTTAACCCTTCACAAATTACTTACAACTAACAACAGAAATACCTGTAATATAACAAAACAAAAAGAGTGCAACAACATGCGATTACAAATATAATAGGCAGGGCGATGAACACTATGTTTTCTTTTATTTTGATAAATCTCTTATTGCGTTAAAACTAGCTTCGATTGTCATCAACCCCGAATATTATTACTTTCGAACTCTTCCTAACTCACTTTAGAGAGAGCGTCGATTAATCTCTTTCATACTTAGTAACTATTAATTACATTTTATTCCTAAGGAACAGATTCTTTGTAATATGAGGTCATTGTATTTTGATTATTCAATAATGCATTTTCAATTAAAATTAGACAAAAAGAAGTATACGAAAATAGGATATTTTATGAAAAAAATAACATTTATTTTTACTGCTGAGCAGTTGATGATATGATAGTAATTGTTGGTATCTTTATAAGGGATGGCTTATATTGCGTGTTTATTGTAAACTAAATTCTCTATATCTTTATAATGCAAGTTAACTAATTGATTTAATGGAAACCTTTGATTGTAACGTCATTGATTTTGTGAAAACATGATTCTTTATTTCTTTTTTCTACATATATTATTTCATCTGGGAAGTTATGATCTGCTCGAAGATATATATATATATACAACATGATTTATAATTTGTTTTGCAACAGCAATTTGAGATGATTGCGTTATACGAAACGTGCATTTTCTGATACCGATGATATTTTTATGCAATTGTTGTTTATGAAACAAGCGATGATTGCGTAAACAGAAAAAAATAACAAATATTTATGATCGTATATTTTCAAATATTATATGAAGATAATATAAATACGAAAATCTATACAAAACAAATAAAAAAGATATGAGAATAAGTGAGTGAGAAGGAAATGAGAATCTTTATTTGTAGAATTCAAAATTTTATAAAAATTGAATATTGCAGAAAATATCGATAAAGGGAAATTTTTCATTGAAGTATATACACGTTCCTCGTACATTTTTAAATCAATAATTATTATGCAGATCGAAAAATGTTGAAAAATTAAATATTTTATAACTTGTCAAAAATGAAAATAAAGTAATCAATGTTTTATAATATGAACAACAAAACTTGGCCAACCCTTATGAAAAAAAAATGCAATCTCTTACGTTGGAGATTGAAAAACGCGTAGAAAATCATCTCTTGGAATGACTCGCATCATTAATGTTTCGTTATCACATGTGTGTTTTTAAAAAAACAAACGGTTTTCTCGGTTTTGGTTTTATCGAAAACAAAACGATGTATTGCTGTGTTTTTAGATCTGTCTCTTTCTCGAAGAAATCGCGCTAATTACGTATGCATTCAGATTGTGTCGAATCTCACTAAAACTGGCTCGAGCGAGGTGAGCATCACTGTTTTGGAATTCAATTTGTTATTACCTTGGGCGCCCAAATGGCCCTTACATCATGGAACCATGACTCTCACCAATCCGGGGAAGAGCTCTCCCTGGATGGGACCGTACTCGACGTGCTCGCCATCCACCGTTATGTAACCGCTTTCGCTCATGTCCGGCTCGATGCGGAAGGCGCGCACAGGCAGCATGAGGATGCTGCCGCTATCCTGCGTCTCGGGATTTATGTGGGTGCCGTTGCTGAGGCCCAGCAGGAACTGCAGAAGCTGTGCTCGAGACGTGTCCGCTTTGATCACGTTCAACCAGATGATGCCGTCGTCCAATTTAGCGTTTGGAACGAAGAGAACGTCTTCGCTCAGATGGCTCGGATAGGAAGCGTGTACCATGATGAACCTTCCATCGATGCATTTCCAGGTGCTCGGGACTTCCGCCGTGAGGCACGGAAGTTTCGAGGCTGGTCCGTACATGCGACTTCCGCTTTCCTCTTGTGGTCCGCTATCTGCGGTAGATTGATACGAGCTGTTGGCTGTGATCGAATAATATGCGCTGCGTTTCGATGCCGCGCTGTACCAGGAATCCAATCTCTGTCGGGCGGATTGCGTTTCTAGATTGATTTCCGCTGGAATTTCGATATTGTCGCCCTTCTTGTTCTCCTTCGCCTTGTGGACTGGCGTATCGTTTGCAGGAATATACCACACCTTTCCTCTGTAATTTCGTAGGCCGATCAATCGTGCCAGACTCCAGATCGTGAACCTCTGACCTCCTAGCATCCGCAGCCTTTCGCTCTCGATGTCAATGTCGGAAAGGAAACCCCAGCCCACTGACAGGAACGAAAACACTATTTGCGACTTCGTTTCCACCCTGACTATGTCCATGGGTTCGAAATTGTTCCTCACGAGCGACAGGGCCGACGGCAGGGTCGTGTTGCATAGGTATGGTTCTCCGGCTACGTGTGCTATGCTACGTGCCAATCCATTCCCAGATCCTCCAGGTATGACCCCGATCGGTACATTCTTTATGACTTCGCTCCAGTCCGGTCGCTCGAACATTCCATTTATTGCTTCAAATATTATTCCATCTCCTCCAACCTAAAACAAACAAACAAACAGAAATTTAAGTTATCATGCAAGTCTCCATTTTAACCATATTATTGCATTTCTAACAATGTATTTTCTGGCTACTTTAAATAACATCAAAGATACATCAATTACACTTCTTATTATATAAACATGCAAATTTATACTAAGATTTACATTGCCTCTATATGAATGTGAAGGACATCTATTTTGGTTTGATTCATGACACTCATGCATTAATTTCATAGTTTTTACTCTTGCTAATTGTGTATGTTAAATATTAATTAGAGTTGATCTAGATCCCATTTTCATTAATTTATAACATATTTAGTTAATAAAAAATGCTCAAAATCAATTTGAATTATTTTGTTGTAAATGACTGTGAAATATGGTTTAAAGTTGAATTTATTAATATCTAAGGATTCTTTGTATTTTTTTTCTGAACGTTATCCCTATTACCAAGGATAATTAATGGTTGCTGAAGATCAAACGAGAGTTGTCAAGGACGCTGTTGTTATGAAATTCAAATACGACGATGGTGTCTGAATCTAACATATGAATTACACATTTAATAAAATAATTCAAATTTATTTTTTGCATACGAAATACTAAACCAAATTGTATTGATATTTATTCTATCTTGTTGTGTCATCGTTTATATTAAAATTGATACATTTGCAAGAAAATTATTCGTTTGCGTTAATTCACAATGATTCATAGTTTGTACGCTTTCCGACCAACATCTAGTACATGTTTAGCAAACCAATTACCATCATAACTGTAGTAACGTTGACACGAGAGTAAAACAATGTGCGTGGAACAATATTACAAAATTACTTATGACCATAACGTCTACCTCATAATGAGAATAACTAAATTAACTTATTTGATCGCGAATTAATATGTTTTTATGAAATAATTGAATTGCATAGTTATGTGTGCCGTACGAGTTTACCAGCAAACGTACAGAATAAATGATTCCATTAAAATACTGCAAGAGAAGAGATACGTCCGTGCTTCATCCCGATGGGAAAAGCAGCCAGGAAACTGCTTTCGTTGCAACTTTCAGGCAGATTTCCAACCTCGAGATGAACAAAAAAAAACTTCATAACCAGGGCATTTTGATGGGGCGTAAGCTGCGCGGGGATTTGCTCATTCTTGCCGTCAATATTTAAACGATATCGACGTTTTTCGCGAATGCAATAAATTTATTAAGCGAAAGCATTCGAAACGTAATCATAATTCCATTAAGAATATAGAGCGTAGAATGCATTCACACGCATGACTGTAATTGCCATTACTCTGCATAACCAAAAGGAAGTGTATTTTGGTATTCTTATAATGAGAAATTGAAGAAAATTTATAGTCCAAAATTTGTTAAGTTATATTCATATAGTAGCTTCAGTAAACAAATGATAAGTGTATATTTTTTACATAAATATTTTTATTTTATCGTCCTTCATATTAATAAATAAATATTTACTTCTGATAAAAACACAAACATTTAGTTATAGTAATGGTATTCGATTATTTTTATATATTTACGAAAGATTACTTGTATCACTATATAATTTTAAGTTAACTTTTTTATAACTGTTTTGATTTGATAATAACCATCATTCAGATTATCTTCATTTATTGAAAATTATTTAGTTGTAAATAACATAAACGATTTGGTAATCAGATGTAATAGGTATAATAACAAAGATTACCTATAAAATACACATTAGCAAAGTAAATGTATGTTAATTAATGGATAAATTACAGAAATACATCGAACCGATACATTTATATTTTCAATTGGATGTTAAAATAATTATAACATTTCAAATACTACAATACCTCGCACAGTGCGGCTTTCATCAGACCGAATTCAATATAGTGCGATTTTGAAAATTTATGCATCCCCATTATATAGTCAAGTCTCTATTTGTGCAGTTTATTTTATGTTGTTTTAAAGTCCTCGATTAGTCCGACTTCAAACAGGTATATTGGCACTAAAAAGACAATTTGTTGGGGGTAAAATTGTCTTGTACATAAGAAACTCAAAAGTATTAGTTAAGACATTATTAAATTTAAATTAAGCATAAATTTAGGTCTACAACTTTACACTTTTAAAGTCTTATGTTTCTGTTTGATTTAGTAGCAGATTTTCTGCTAGTTTGTTTGGGAAATACATAAAAATAATTTTTCTAATAAAAAAGAAGTATTTTTGTAATGTAATGTTACTAATTTATAATTTGATGAGAAGTTAATTTAATAACAAATATTCATATAATAATATAAGTCGAGGATACAACAACGCACAGTATCTTATCTCTAATTGAAAATTGTCTATTTTTATATAATAAATCTATTGATTGTCGGCTTATTTATATATATTTCCAATTTGAAATTTAACTTTGTTTTCTACTAATGCCTACTTATTATTTAGTAAAGTTTCATATAATTAAATATAATTAGAGCAAATACATGTATTTTATTAATCTGTGATTACTTATAATTTTAATTAATATTAATAACTGTAATTTATTGATTTGATAATAACATGAAATTTAATTAAATTTATAAAAAACAAAGCAAACAAATACAGTATTATCTTGTATATAATGAATATCATACAACAATGTCAATTTGTAATAAGCCGTATAGCATTGATCGAATAAAGCGCTTATATACCTTGATTTAAAGAATATATCTTTATTTCTCTTTCACTCTTAATTTGTTGAGTGCATAGAGTGTAATTGGTAATTCCAAGAAAGAAAAAGAATAATGTATTTCTTTGCAAATGCGAAAACTTGTTTTTTTTATGCTCTTGGAATAATTACGAACTCTGACGTAAATCGTATCGAAGGTGTACGAGTACTTGAAACAAGGGCAATATTCGAAAAATGTATACATTTTCAAGTTTATCAAAGTCATTTATATTATTTATATATATATATAGAGATCGAATTTAATCCTCGTGTCGTGTTGACCTTTGTCTTGATATTAAATTGGATATCGTGAGATTCGCTAAACACTAAAAAAAAAATATCCATAGACATGCAACATCTACACAAAACATCAACACATCGTTGAAGGAAAATATCGATTTTGAAAGAAGAAAACGCTTTTATCAGTCTTAGTCACTAACAGTATTCCTTTTTTTAATTATCCACGCAAGTGCTATTACGTTCTTTCTTGTTGTTGTGCGTGAAAGCAGAAATGGAATAATATGTTGAGCAATAAGAGCATTTCAAAATTTCATTCTGCTGTGAAACGCGGCTCGATTTATAATTCATTCTCTTTAAAAAAAATATCTTTACAATAAAATGCACAAGGAACAAAAATATGGAAAAATTCAATTACCTTGAAATGTTCACCACATGCAAACATATCTTACATTAATGACACATACCAAGGTTTTTACAAAATGCAATTATTCCTTTAAAAAAAAGTAACAATACGTGCTTACTAATAACACCTGTATCTTCTCATGACTAGTTACATAGTAGAGTTTTTATCAAGTGCGAACTAAAGAATGAATCACATTCTTTTAATCGAACATTTCTTTTCAATTACAATTTGCATTAATCAGTTAATTGAATTTGTACAAATTGTGTTTAAAGTTTTATAAGCTTTTAAACAAATTAAATAATAATATTGTTATCTTATACTATTCCTGATGATACATCATTAAACAGATATTTTATACCAGCATTTCTCAGTCTATGTTAAATTATGAATGGGTCGCGAAATGACAGCTGTCATCCCGTTTTAAAACGAGGAACTGTTGATATAGCAATTGGATCGCTGTAGGTCGCAAAAAGGTTTAGAAACGCTGTTTTTTTTCTTATAGTATACAGATGATTTAAAGAAATTGAAAACGTTGCATAATGCATATTGACTCGTAACTACTACGGACAAGTAAATAAAACTCAAGTACTAACTAAAATTACCAGAGTATTAAATATTAAAACTATTTTTTATAAAAAATCATCTGTTTCTTTTGTATGTAAGAATCCGTTCATTAGGTTGTGTTTCAACAGGTATTTTAACCTGCGAGATATTTGAAATAAAAATTATAAGATTTTGGAGAATCTTTTGGTTATTTTTATTTTGTTCAAAAAATGCTTCTTTTACAATGGTGAGGATTCTTGTATAAGTCTACTGTTGATATCAGCGATATTTAATATACAATGTAATAAAGCCATTGCCACAGTCTTCATCAAATGCATCCATACATGCTTTTGTCTTATTATAGAAATGTATATCGGTTTTATATATTCATTGTAGTGCATACTGGATATCAAATTATTGGTTTTACACGTTTTGGTACATGGGAAACCAAAGTTATTCCACTTTGAAATCCAAGTATTGATGATAATTCAAGAAAGCATTTGCTATATACGGGTCACTTTGACCCGAAATATACTAAAATTGCACTAGAAAATAAAGGTATAGCTAAAAGTAAATTACAGCAAAATACGAATGAAAACAAATATCAGGTGGGTCACTCCGACCCATTCGTGGTAATTACGGGTTATATGATATATGACGCATGTGTTGTTTCTTTAAACTTGGTATTATAGTATATTCCAAGGTGAATTATAAATGATATGCAAAGTACAGATAACAACGACAAGGTAATGGAAGTTGAAGTAAAACTTAAAATGTACTGCAAAATGATAAAATAAATCAATTTTACATTTGATCTATTACATATTTGTAATTTTTTATGTAGAAATACTAGAGAAAAATAATTTGTAAATAAAATAGGAAGAAAAGAAATAATAAAATGAAATAATTGTTAATTAAAATAAGCCACAATAAAATTAATAACTTAATTACAACGCAGGCTGTAATTAATTTAAAAATGAAATTTTAGTTAGTTTGAAAATTGTCTAGTAAGCTCATAAGTAGACTAGATACTAAACATTATTTACATAATATTTAAAAAATAACATACAAAGACTTTCATTCTGTAAGAAAACAGAGCCACAAAAGATACAACTGCAATTCTAATATTA